GAAATAAAGGCCACACCCTAAAAGAGAATTAAATCAATCAAAACAAGAGAATCACAAAAGAAAAGTGTCAAAACTATATAATAGAGTGATTTTACCCGTGAAATAGATAAGTAGACTAATACTAATAATTACTCTCTTATTTACTGTCGCATTTTCGTTTGTTTTTAAGTTCCCAGAAGCCACCACTTTGTCAATATATATATATACTTCAATAAAACGTTTACTTCAGCAACAGTTTTTTTTAGTCATAAATAATAAGTTGTTTAATTTCTATCTGTAATCATACACAAGGATTAAACAGATCGAAATCCTGCTATATGCGAAGGTGGTCTATTGTTTAACCACTCATTAGATTACAGAGTTATTGAATTACATGTACACTCCAAGCAGTCATATTGCTATGATCTCTTTTTGATGCACATTACANGCAATAACATATGTATCAAGGCGTTTCTTGCAACGCCCGTTTACAGCATAGTTAAGTTATTATTCACTTCCACCGGAAGTTTTACTTACGCACACAACGTGTTATATATGCTGTTCTTTGCTAGTTGTATTCATTCCCTGAAGAAGTCTCAGTAAGAGACGAAACGCGTCGGAAATAAACGAAAAAGCTTACAACTACAAGAAGTCTCCCTTTGTGCTGCTCACTAGTCTTCGTTAAAAAATTAAAAAATTAAAAAATTAAAAAAAATAATAATAATTACTCTCTTATTTACTGTCGCATTTTCGTTTGTTTTTAAGTTCCCAGAAGCCACCACTTTGTCAATATATATATATACTTCAATAAAACGTTTACTTCAGCAACAGTTTCATTTAGTCATAAATAATAAGTTGTTTAATTTCTATCTGTAATCATACACAAGGATTAAACAGATCGAAATCCTGCTATATGCGAAGGTGGTCTATTGTTTAACCACTCATTAGATTACAGAGTTATTGAATTACATGTACACTCCAAGCAGTCATATTGCTATGATCTCTTTTTGATGCACATTACAGGTTACCAGCTGTCTTCACTGTAATTGTCCAGGAGCATGCCTTAGCTAGATCACTCACCTGTTACCTTGCCCAGTGGGTAACTGAACCTAAAAACGTTACTAACATATGAAGAAAATCTCCTTGTCACGGGCAACTGGAGTGGACGCAGAGTTTTGATTTCAGTAAGTTCTTTTCCAGCATATAAGGTGTGTTACATTGTAGCCTGCGACCAGGCTCTCTGGGAGGCTCTGGGGGCAAGGGAGTAAAAAAGAAAAGGAGAGCTTGTAGTCATGTCTCAGGAATTTGAAATCCCCCTCCAGTGTCCCTTGTGGCTCCCCGTCAAAGGGGCTCCCAGGAAATGGTCAATCAGCACAAAGCAGAAACAGGAAAACAGACATTGAAATAAGCTTACATAACAGTCATCACTACAACAGAATAAGGAAAGCATTTTTCGATACTCTTTTAGCTGAGCCAAATAGATGCTCTCAACTCGTTGTCTGAGACATAACAAACTGAGGAAGTAGTGATACCCATATTTTGTACTTCTCTTATTTGTTCTTTCGATGATAATTGGTAACGGGGAAGCAATCAGTACTACCGGTACTTGATTTCCATTTCATTCAAAGGTTCAATTGAAACCATTAAGGTAAATAGCTGGAAGGTCAAACTTTTCCGTTTCTTGTATTACAGTGCATCAGTCCCTTGCAGTAATCAGGGCTCCAACTAATTTCCGGAGAGTCTCCAGACACGATGACCAGCCAAATTCATTTTGCTTGATCACGTATTATTTCTGGCTGGTCAATTTTATAAGATTATATTCACTTAAAACAGGGGCCCATAAACCAAAACTGGCATTATATATTTCCAAACAAGTTGTTGCTTAATTAGAGCTTATAGCACTTTAAAGCGCTCATTGTCAACAATAGAAATAAATTATTGTACACATTTAATTTGTCTGGCGCCTCCAAATATAATGATTTCTGGTGTACATATCATGGTGTGAGATCTTGATCCGAAAAAAATTTGTGTTCATCTAGAAAATTAACTAATAAAAGTGAAAATATTTTTTATTTTGTGACTGGAAGTGTGTGAACCCTGATGTCTGATTCCATTTGCAAATTGTAAACAATGGTTCTAGATGCATTATTTCACCCAGGATTTCCAATCAAAGTTCCACAATACACAGCGACTTGCTACATACTGATAACAACTGAACAACTGAAAAGCATGGAAATTTTAATTCCTTTATTTTCAGTACGATCGAATGTGTACAGTCAACATGACCAGCAAGACAAGAGGTTGATGGGTCAACTCCCCAATCAGTCAGGACATTGTCTGTTGACCGGCTGTTATTTCGAGCCCTGGTAATAAAAGCATTAACTGCTTGACATTGTATGTTCTGGCTTTTATTCCAGAGGCAAAGAAACAAATTCAGATAACTTTTCAAGTGCTGCATGAAAACAGTCCCCACCTTCTACCACTTTGTTTTCTGCTCTTCATGACACATGCCAAGACTGATAATGTCATTAACAAATTTCATCTCCACCAAACAGCATTTTGCACTGACTTTTTCAATGCAGAAATTTAAATTCCTGAGATATAACTGCCAGCTCTCCCCTTTTTTCCTTTCATCGCTGTCCCCAAGGGTACCCCCAACATTGCACCCCCACCCAGACACCCCCCACCCCCTAATGAGCTAGCTAATTAGGTGCAAGTGCGGTTTTCTTTATTTGTTTAGTAAGATCAGCATCTGAAATCTATTTCCAAGCGTTTTTTACTTTGAAGGTCGCTTGTAATAATAGTAACAGAACTAGTTGTTTAAAAAGAGAAACTAGCTTTCTCCTTATAAGTCTATATCTGTATTCTGTGTATTGGCCATGCATGAGTGATTGGGACAGCGCAATTGTAGAGTGAGACGGTCCCTTCCCTTCCCTTCCCCTATTGCACTCACCTCCAAATGATTTGGCTGCAGATACAGTGACACATGTTTGCTTAGATGGAACAAAAGTGACCTTCCCTTGTTTACATCTACATTTGCAGTATCCCGTAGTGCCGATTACAAGATAAACTCCATTAAATACATCGGAACACCATTCTCCTCTACAGCTTCCTCCGTAACTTGATTTCATGTTTATTAAAAATTCGTCTATGTCCTTCCTACCAACAGCAAAACTCCCCACGTTTGTCTCATCATACTCAATAGGACTTGTTTGCAAGGGCAGAAAAAGCAACAGCATTAAGGTCAATTTCACTTTCCACATGATCGTTTTTTCTTCGACGTAATCGAGGATATTTCACTTGAAATAGTAGCCAGATTCAACCCATAAAAACAAAATGGTAGATTCAAAAACTTTCAATCCAGACGTTTTTTCCTTGTTTGTGTTTCTTCGAAAGAACGGAAGCACCGCAATCACTGAAGGTAATGATCACGTGAATGATGTTTGAGTCGGCCTGGAAACGAGATAAAGAAGCATCTGTTCCTCAACTTGTCGCTCAACTTGCTCAGCAGCGATTTTTAAAAGGATGTCCGAGTTAAAATTGGCTTTTGCAATACGGTAATACCTTGTTATAGTAAAGAAAATAAAGCTGTTTTTGTTTATAACACCAACTTCGTTTCGAGTCCCTTCGTTTTGGGTTGACTTTGGTTTCTGTCAGGAACGCGTGACAAAGGGCCGGACCATGGTACGGTTTACATAGTATTAACGAGATTGTGGCTTTTTAGTCCCACGTCATTGTGAAGTAATGATTTTGTTACGATTCAAACAAAAGTGGTTAGTTCCACTGGTCTCCGACTGGTCGATCCGGCAAAATCGAAAAATCCTCCGGATTTGCGATAGTCCGGAATGCCGGAATGTAGAATATAACGCAAGGAATCTCAAACCCGGAAAAATTGCGGTTGTTTGACGCCGTCAGCAAGCCTGTCTTTTCAGCTTTCATAAGCGGAATATTGATGGCAAAAAAATAGATCAACACGTACAAACCGAGGTATTAACGGAAGACGGACAATCCATAACTGTGTATTAACGTGAGTCTAGGGAATGCTTCTATTAAGATGTTGCAAAGTTGGTATACCGTAGTATCAGATTTTTTGGACGATTACCAAGTAGAGCACAATTTTCCGTGAAAATATCATTATCAGCTTTTAAAAAGACCAACGAAATGATGTCAAAATGTTCAAACCTCAAGTGGAACCTTTATACCACACGAGTGGTTTCACCGCAATGTTTAAAACATTTTGACGTCATTTGTACATTTGCTGTCACGTTTTTTTATTGGTTACAGTTATTATAAACTTAATGAGTTAGAAATATTTCATATAAATTACTGTTATTAGTTTGCAGCACAAGTAAGTGTATTTTATTTTGTTTCTTCACAGTAAGCTAAGATAAGGCGAGTTTATTATGAACCCTATAAATCACCTCGTTACGCAAAATGATTCGCTCAGTGACTTTGGGATGCCTGTGGTCAACGCGAAATATTTCGCGTAAGACCGCATTGATCGGGACAGAGGCTTCAAAAAAAATAGAAAAATTATCCAAGAAAACTATTTTTAATAAAAGGGAAATAGACTCAACGACGTTCCCAAGTTCTCTCTCCTACCCGGGGAGGAGAGAACCCTGGGAACGAGGGATTAAAAATTTAACCCCAGTGCAAGTCAACCGGAAGTGGACGTTCTGCATTCCTGGGCTGTGGTTTTTGCCGAAATTCTCAGGATAGTCTCTATAACAAAAAGATACTTTACTTACTTAGCCACACAAATTTGTTAGCTGCAGGAGCCCATGACCAATCTTGGGCTCCCATCAAGGACAAAGCATATTCAAAGGGAAACTACTTCCTACTAAAACAAAACTGAATGCAAGGCTGGCACTACGGCAAAGGGCTGATTTATTATAGGCCAATATTTCGGCTAACAAAATTAGCCTTTCTCAGGGCCAGGAGAAAATACCTTTTAACGGCTCCTAAAATTTGAAATTAAAATTCACACAAGTTGTTAATAGTTAACAACAATTATTAATACT